AGTCTGGCCCTTCTTGAAAGGGAATCCCTGTTTCCAATATTGTGTGTTAAGGATGCTGGCTTGTTGGGGCAGCCTTCCCTCATGCAGCTCCCCTGCCACCCCCTCCTCTTCTCCAGAGATCTGCAGGGGAGACACATCTGGAGGGCACCGTGCAAACTCCAAATTGGCTGCTTCTATCTCTCCAAGCCCCCTGGGTGGTGGGAGGAAAAAGCCAAAAAAGGGAACCTGTGATGGGCCAGGCAAGGCTGGGGGGGGCGGAATCTGGAGGTCTCCAGCAGAGGAAGGTGACACCAGGGTGAGCGCCAAAGCTTTGTCCACCAGAGGAGCCTCGCCGTCCCTCTCAGGTCACACAGAGGACCCTTGGATGGTGGTGCAGGCTATCCGAAGCTCCTGCAAGTGGAAGGCAAGAGCCCAGCCCTCAAACTCCCTGGGCATCGGGACAACTCAGCCCAGCCCTGCTTACCTCCACCTCGAGGCTGCTGCTACTATGCTCACTCTCCTTGGCCAGGTTGCTCATGGTGGGTACAGGAAGGCGAGGCTCATGGATGCTGCTGTCTGCTTTGCCCGGCAGGTTATGGCCACAGCTTCCTCGCCTGGCTTGTGGGCTTCCCAGGCTGGAGAAGAGGGGAGGGGTGGCAGGGCTCCTGCTGGACAGGGGCTGCTGCTTCCAGTGCCACCATTGTGTGTGTGTGGAGCCCCGAGGTGCACAAGTATGATGCAGGTGGGTCAGGGCCAAGAGCAGCTTATTGGACATCCGGGTTCACATCACCCAGGGGGACTGCCCAGCTGGGCTGGTGTGGGCCGGGGCCGAGGCAGTGGAGGCAGGCCCCTTGCCATCTCCAGGACAGCCCTGCAGGCCAGATCTAAACACATTATGGGGTGGTAGAGGGGCATATGGATGTGCAACGTTCTTTATCTTTATCTTTATCTTTATTTGATTTGTATACTGCCCTACTCCCGAAGGACTCAGGGCGGTGAACAGCCAAACAGTAAAATACATAAATACAAAATTTAAAAAACAAGATAAAATCGAATTAAACAATTTGGCCCAGACAAATTAAAACACCCCAATCATTTAAAAAACAGATTAAAATTTGCATATTAAAAAGAAAAGAAAGAAAAGAGGGAAAAGATTAGGCCAGTGTGCCGAGATGAACAAATTAACGTTAGAAATCAACGATAGAGAGGATACTGATTATTATAGTGTGTGGGACAAGTGGTACGAGTGGTTAGAGAAAAGGAAATCAAAATGAGGCTCGAAAGAACTAGGGACGAGCATGAGGATTAGCTAAATGGGTATAGCAAAACAAGGCGTAATACATATAGTAGGAAATAAAATGTAGCAAGGATATGTTATATATGTAAATAAAATGTAAGACTGTATACTAAGGATGATATAAGCAAATACTATGTGTACTACTTGTTAAATTAAGACAAACAGGCTATACCATGTAAATAAGAAGTAAATATAATATATACGTATATGTATTTGTACCTTTGCACCATGAACCGGAATGGCAAAAATTGTATTATAATTTCTTAACAATAAAAACCTATTAAAAAAAAAAAATTAGGCCAGGCCTGCCTGGTGGAATAAAAAGGTCTTTAAAGCGTGGCGGAAGGTGCGCAGATCCGGGATCCTCCGTATCTCTGTGGGGAGCTCATTCCAGACAGTAGGTGCCCCCACAGAAAAGGCTCTCCCCCTAGGGGCCGCCAGTCGACATTGTTTGGCTGACGGCACCCGGAGGAGCCCCTCTTTATGAGAGCGTACCGGCCGGTGGGAGGCTATTGGTGGTAGTAGGCAGTCCCGTAGGTAACCAGGTCCTAAGCCATGGAGCGCTCTAAAGGTGGTAACCAAAACTTTGAAGCGCACCCGGAAGACCACCGGGAGCCTGTGCAGTTCGCGCAGGAGAAGTGTTACATGGGAACGCCATGTCGCTCGCATTACCACCCGTGCGGCTGCACTCTGTGCCAGTTGGAGCCTCCGGGTGCTCCTCAAGGGGAGCCCCATGTAGAGAGTGTTACAATAGTCCAGGCGGGAAGTGACGAGGGCATGAGTGACCGTGCGTAAGGAGTCACGATCCAGAAAAGGACGCAACTGGCGAATCAGGCGAACATGATGAAAAATCCTCCCGGTCATGGCCGTCAAATGCTCTTCTAAAGACAGCCGTGAATCCAGGAGGACGCCCAAGTTGCGAACCCTCTCTGTGGGGGCCAATGATTTGCCCCCAATAGTCAGTGATGGCGCCAACTGACTATATCGGGACGTCGGAAACCACAGCCATTCGGTCTTGGATGGGTTGAGCCTGGGCCTATTCCTCCCCATCCAGATCTGCATGGCCTCCAGGCACCGGGACATCACTTCAAGGGCATCGTTGGGGTGTTCACTTCAAGGGCATCATTGTTTATCTGACAATCAGATAAAGCTGGTAGAGAATGTTTCCATTCTGTCCAGGTGTTCCTCTTTTCATCAGGTAGTGGGGCATCCCAGCCAGATGTTTCACAACTTAAGTCTCTGAATAATGCTTTACCTTGAATTGTGACAGGGTCGGCAGATCCTAATGAGTCTTAAGGTGATTTATTGCAGACAAGACACCTCTATGAGAGAAAGGTTTCTATTCTGTATTTACTTGGAAGATAAAGAAATCAGTTTTCAAGTCCCACAGGAGACCAAGATTGTGTTGGACAGGTAGATAAACTGTTCCTAAATCGAAATCTCTTCAATCGTTAGAGTAGTCTTGAAATGGAAAGGCTTCCATAACTTTTTTACTGTGGGAAGCAATCTTGTGAAGCCTGAGAATTGAACAGGCAAGCATTTCCTGTGTTCTTTTGAGGAGACTGATTGCAGACTCATTTGAAGGCATGGATTTTAAGCAGTCATCTATGTAGAAGTCCTTTTCTATGAATTGTCTAGCATCGGAGCCATATTCTGTCTCACCTTCTTTGGCAGAATGTCTGAGTCCATAGATAGCGACTGCAGGGGAAAGGCTGTTGCCAAAGATGTGTACTTTCATACACTACTGTGTGATGTCTTTGGAGGGATCATTGTCCCTGAACCAAAGAAATCTTAAGAAATGTCTGTGTTCCTCTCTAAAGAAGAAGCAATGGAACCCCTGTTGGATTTCGGCTATGAAAGCAACAGAGTCTCTGCGAAATCGCAAGAATACTCTAGAAGTTTGTTATTGAGGTCTGCACCCAATAGGAAAATATCATTTCAAGAAACTCCTTCAAATTTGGCACTAGAGTCAAATACTGCCCTAATCTGACCTGGCTTTTTAGAGTGATATACTCCAAATAGTAGTAGGTACCAGCACTCCACATTTCTAAAAAGAGTCAGTCCTCAATAGACATCACCTCAAAAGATTGTCAACTTTTATCTTTGGGAAAGAAGCATCCATCAAATCTCTCTCAAGAATAGTTTTTCAGGAGGATCTCCCAGGAAGCTCCAAATCAGGACAGATCAAGAAGTAGTATAAGGTTCTTCAACTCCTCTGATAGATCCTAGCTTTCTCGTCTTCTCTAAGTATCTCTTCTATAGCATACCTCCTCCCGTTTTATTAATTTTGCTTTTTGAAATTGTGTCTCCCTCACAGGGAAGAATAGGAGGAAGCTGACGTTTTCTTTTGGGGGAGAAGGATCTGTGACTGAATCCCCAACGCAGGTAAGAGAAGAACATTCATTTACTAGATTTGCATTTTCCGTTTCCCTCAAGAAATCACCTGATCGACATATTTTAGGTAGTCCTTGTCTTTGGCCACACTTGTGCCCAAAACCTTTGTTGGCAAGTCTCTTTCACAGGAAAGAGTAGAAAGAAGTTATTTTTTCCTGATGGTAGAGCTGAAATAGTGGTCAAAATTCCAACTCAGGAATTTTATTAGATTTGTATTCTCTCTTTCCGTCAGAAAGTCAAGCTGGGGTACATAGTACAGTCACCTTTCATGTTTCCTTCTTGTTTCGGTTGACTTATTCCTTTCTTCCACAGCAACAGATTTAAATGAGATTCTTGTTAGGGAATGTCTTTTTTTCTAATACTACTACTTTAAATACAAGGCTATTTACTAAAGTAGAACATTGCCAAAAGCTTCCCAGTCAAGGACCCCCTTCCTGGCCACCATTTCTCCGCTCTTTGCATGAGCACCTTTCATGCCCAGAAAATCCACCAGGGGAGGCACTTCAGCTTTGGGCCTTACAAGTTGGGAAGGCAGTGACGTCATTCGGTTTTTGCCTTTCTAGGATACTGGAGTCTCTCTCACTTTAACCCTTTGAGCTTTGCAGGAAGTTAAAAAGGCTGCCAGAAAGTCTTAAGGATCCAGAAGTGGAAAAGGTAGGTGTGTGTGGTGTGTCTGTGTGTTCTTCTTATAGAAAGGGAGGCAGAGGATTCTCACTCTAAAAAAGGGAAGAGAAACCTTCCTAGTCCTCATCCAGGTTCAGTTTTAGGGGGTTTGAGGAGTGGGAGATCCCTTCCTGAGACCCCCTGTTTCCCTCCCTCCTAACCCCGCTTTCCCATGGTTGTAAGAGGCATGGGGGAAAGCAGAGACCACGCACGCTGCCCTGGGGAATAAATCCAGATCCTCGGAAAGGAAAGTGGGGGGGGGAACATGGAGAGTCCTTCGCACCCCATTTCCTGGTGAAGGCTCCTGTGTAAGGGGAGAGCTTGCATGGGAAATCTCAAGACGGAAATAAGAAATATATTTGCAAGGAAGAGAAGCAGATTGTTGTCCCCAATTCGGGTCTGAGCCTGGTGCAGAAGCCAATGATGGACGCCAGATACGAAGTGCAGGTTTTCCTATTGCTCTTTATTGGAGCACTCCAAGGAAAAGGGCTCCTGGCAGTGGTGAAATCCAATTTTTTTTACTACCGGTTCTGTGGGCGTGGCTTGGTGGGCGTGGCAGGGGAAGGATACTACAAAATCCCCATTCCCACCCCACTCCTGGGGCCAGCTAGAGGTGGTATTTGCTGGTTCTCTGAACTACTCAAAATTTCGCACTACTGGTTCTCCAGAACCTGTCAGAACCTGCTGGATTTCACCCCTGGCTCCTGGCCAAAATGCCAAGAACCAGGAACAAAGGATTAAGAAACCCTTATACATTTTCACTAAAAGAAAAGGCGGGACAAGGCGATATAATTGGGGATGTGTGTTGATGAATGGGCCAATCCACTACTTTCTGGTTGTTTGAATATATTCTCTTTTCTATAAGAGAATCGCAAAATGGAACTCATTTGTTCATCTTCTTTAGAGACAACGTTATTTCTTTGGCTAAGAGGACTTTAGGTATTCCCATGGCTAGGTGAACATTGCTATGAATGTGTGGGAAGCCCCTCCCCCCAAGAATGAAATATTTGGGGGAATATTAAAAAGAAGCAGAGTATTATATTTCCCCTAAGGGAGAAATGGAGACACATGCTCTTGAGGGAGGCAGAAACCAGCCTCAGTCTCCCTGCCCCAAGCGGAAACTGAGGAGGCCAGCTTTTAGAAATGGAGATTTTGTAATCCATTCAGAAAGACTGGGTCAGGCAGAAACATCAGATAAGCAACACAATTAAGCCAAAGGTTGACCAAATTAGCTCAGACAAAGACCTAGGATTTGCATTTCCCCATTTGCCTATAGAGCCAACCATGATCCCATAGGAATCCAGAAGGTATAAAATCCACCCACTCTAAACTCCATTTTGTCAGCTGTCCCAGAATCACATGTGGTTGGTGGATCTGCTTCAACAATAAAGGGAACCTTTCTTTCCAATCGGCCTCCAGCCTCCATTTTATTTCCAGTGCCTTCCTCCTGTATTGGAACCGAACCAGATGGATATTTCTTTCAAGAAATGAAAAAGCATTTGGAGGTACACAACTTTCCTTGCACTAATTTAGAATTGTGTTTTAGGACAGAGAAAGAATGGCAAGCCGTCCTTTAGCAAGTGGGGGAACTGTAAAAGGCCCTTCCGGTGCTCAGTCTGGAATCCACGGGGAGATCTGGGCAAGAACTGGGCAGAAGATGCTGGAAGAAGGAACCATCGTTTCACAAGTTCACGCCTGGAACTTCAGGAGCGTCCAATATCGGGAGGATGAGGGTCCCCGAGGACTTTGCAGCCGACTGCACTACTTTTGTAGTCGATGGCTGAAACCAGAAAAGTACACAAAAGTGCAGATGCTGGACCTGGTGGTTCTGGAGCAGTTCCTGGCGCTTCTGCCCCTGCAGATGGAGAGCTGGGTGCGGGAGTGTGGAGCAGAGACCAGCTCCCAGGCGGTGGCACTGGTGGAAGGCTTCCGCCTGAGCCAGGCGGAGGAGGAAAAGGAGCAGGTTGAGTTGCAGGTGAGAGGACGTCCTCTTGGGACTCCAGAAAAAGTTGAATATAATAAACAAGAAGTTCACATTTTTGTATCCTTTTCATAGTTTTATTAAGCTTATCAAGATATAAAATACAAAAAAATTAAAATAGTAGGAAATGGTGGGTGGGAAGGGAAGGGAAAGAAGTTTAGGGGAAAGGGGGAAAAAGAAAACCATTGACTTTTTTTTGTGCAGACACATAAAATGATAACATTACAGTTTCAATGTTTTACATATTTATTTGAACATGTATTTGAAATTTCTTTATATATCTTTGGTAGTTTATCAGTGTTAACTAGAAGGATACATCATTTTATAAAAGATTTATTTTAAATTATAATTTAATACAAATTTTAAACTCTTCAACCACATGTCTTCCTTTTCTTCAGGCATTATATTATACACAAACATCTTTGCCTTTGGATCAATGGATTCAAATTTTGATGTCTTCTTACCAGCCTTTCCTGGCATTCATACTATGTGGAGATGCTTCACTAATCTTTGTGTAGTTCCCTTATCCATTCTAGAAGAAAGATTTTGCACAGGGATTTTTTTCTTCCTTCCCAGTCTAATTGATTGACACCAAGTGATTTGCAGTGGTGTTCACTGGAAAAGAAACCACTTCATGATATGTGATGTCCATTAATTCTTTTCTCCTATTTCAAGCCCTTAGCAATGGAGATCAGAGATCCTGAGAGAAAGAGGCATCCGTCAAATCTCCCTGAAGAACTGTCTTTCAGGGGGATCCCTCCGGGAGATCCAATTCAGGACACCTCAGGAGGTAATATAAGGTCCTTCCACTCCTTTGATCAATCCTAACTTTCTCATCTTCTCGGTGTCCTCTCCTCTATAGAATTCCTGCTCCCATTATACTAATGATGCTTTTTGAAATTCTGTGTTCCTCACAGGGAAGAATAGAAGGAAGTTGACTCTTCGTTTTGGGGGAGCAGAAACCAGGATTGAACCTCCAACTCAGGTAAGAGAAGAACATTCATTTACTAGATTTTTATTTTCCATTTCCCTCAGGAAATCAGAGGATGTGGACCAGGGGTGGGTTCTATTTACCTTTACTACCAGTTCGCAGCGGAGCCGCGCGTGCGTGCTTGCTTCGGTTGCGCGTGTGTGCTCTTCTGCGCATGTGCAGAAGCATTTTGATTACATCGGGGTCAGTGGGCGGGGCCTCCAGCCGGCTTTACTACCAGTTCTGGCAAACCGCCAGTGAAGTGGACAGCATAGGTTCGTGATGGCGAACTTATGGCATGGAAGGGAAATTTTTTTAAAAAATCCTGCAGGGATTTGATCCCATGCTGGGATATGATCTGAATAAGACCGGCTTGTCCTACTGTTGAAACGCCCCCAGGCTCCTTCCCGAAGGGAGGGTGGCTCTTCTCTGCCTTTCGCCATCATGCGCAGTGCAAGGGGCAGTGCGCAAGTCCACTTTTTGTTTTTGATGCGCTCACCACTCACAGCAACTGGGACCGTTGGGGGGGGACGCACTGGCAGCAGGCAAAGGCCTGCTTCTCTCCCCCATTCTTTTCTCCTCTGCTTTAGCCCAGCCCTCCACCCAGCAGCTAAGGATGAGGGGCTCGCCCACCTCTTGATGAGGCCTCTCAGGGAACACGGCATGCAAATCAAAAGAAAGCGCTGCGAGTCCAGGTGTCCTTTCCCTTTGTTCCCCCTCCTCTCTCTCTTGCCCCCTCTCCCTCCCTGGGAACTGTGTGGGGAGAGGGGAAGACCATCAAGGGGATGCTCGCAAGGCACTCTTGGCAAAAGACGAAGCGTCCCAACTGCCAGAGCCCAGAATTTTAAGGTAGAAAAGTGAAAGGGGGGAGGATTTCAAAGGCCCTGGAGAAAAAGCTCTTCTGTTTGCTGTCTGAAGCGGGTGCTGAGGCCAACCCTGTGGGAAGCAATCTGCTTCTCCATGCAAAACCTCATGGGCGTTGCAGAACCATAGGTCTCCAACAACAGCTACACCTTCTGCCTTCGAAAACACGCCAGGATGTAATCTGAATGACATCACTGGTGACGAAACGCTTCCCAAAAGGGGGGCAACCGATGGGAAGGGCGCAGTGCTTTGTTTTGAATTAGGCGCTGCTGCTGACTTGGAAAGAATGCCTTTTACACTTTAGTTTTGGCACGCCGTGTCACCCGAGAGGTCTCATGGAGAGGCGGGCGAGCCCCTTCTCCTTTGCTGTGCGGCTTCTCTCCCCCGTTTCTCCTGTGCTTTAGCCTAACCTTGCCCCCTATCACCCTCCGAAGAGGGAGGCCAAGGTTTAAAGGGGATGGGAGGGCCGGGACAAATCTGAAAGAAACAGACTGGCAAAGAGGCAGCCCTCAAGCTACTGCTCTCCCTTTTTTCCTTCTCCTTCCTTCTGAAGTGAGGGTTGAAAAGCCCCATCATGTCCAGACACCATCCCACTGCCTGTCTTTGATTGCAGAGTGTGCGGCAGAGGTGGAGGACTAGGTTGGACCATGCGGCCAAACGTGCACGGGCTCAGCCATGGCACCATCCTGCCCTGCCCCTTGGCTTCTCTCACCTGGCCTACAACTGCGGGCAAGCAAGGACAGGCAGAGTGGCAGAGGGTTCACATGGCGCATCTGGTAGGCCAGATTGCGTACCTCCTCCCCCCCGCGCCTCTGCCAGTGCCGCTGCTATGAGGCAAAGCAAGTGGTGTGGCGGGCGATGGCGCCAAGGCGTAGCCCCTGCATTCTCAGCCCTCGCCATCCAGCCTGTTCCTCCACTTCCACCGCACACTCCACACAAGCAAAGACAGTTGGTGGGACAGATCACATGCCTCCCCCCACCCCCCGCGCTGGCTGCAGTTGCTTCCAGACACCAACTGGCCCTTCCATGCCCACTGCCCCACCCTCACAGGCTTTTTGTTCTGTCCATTTCGTCATCTGAACCACGGATTCCTACTAAGCAAAGCTACTTCCCTTAGTGTATATGTTTGCTTTGGGAATTCCTAAATAATAGGAAAGATGCTGTTCTATACTTTTTTCCCCTTTCAGGAGAGTCTTGTGTCCTTTGAGGAGGTGGCTGTGTTTTTCTCCGAGGAGGAATGGTCTCAGCTGGATCCTCACCAAAGAGCTCTGCATTGGGAAGTCATGCTGGAGAATTATAAGAACGTGGTCTCTCTTGGTAAGGGTTTCCTACTCTCCAGTCAGAGAGTTCAGGAAGACATTTTGTAGTTAGAGGCCATTAGTTAGTTCTTCCGAAAACATCTCTAAATAGATATCCCCTCTTCAGAGGGAGAAGGAAAAGTTCTGTTTTTCTACTGCACCTAGGAAGAAATGGGTCTATGGCATTCTGCTTAGATATATCCAGTCCAATTTATTTTCGTGTTTCTATTTAAACTTTTTAGTGACAAAGTAATTCCTTAGTTTGAGATAATCCCAAACTCCATCACACAGATTTCAACTATTGTGACCCAGATGCTTCCATATCATTCAAGTTTTTTGACTTCATGTCTTTTTCAAGGATTTATGCCTCATCAATAGAAATATTATCATCTCTATACTATGCATTTATAAGGATACAAATATGCAGTATATATTAGAATTTGGCACAATACCTGAAGGCAATTAATATGACTTCTGACAGAGTGATCTTTTTCCCTAACCTTTCTCTCACTTTCATTTCTCTTTCCCTTTGAAGGTGAGAATGACAATAATGACTCTGGAGAACCAATCGAAGTCTTTAGACAAGGAGACGTAATGAAGAAACCTGCAATTCAAACAGAATTCCAAAGGCAGGAGAGAAACCTGTCAACTAACTGGAATAAGGAAAGCTCACCTTCGATTGTTGCTCAGATGCAGGACTTTATTGATGAACGAGGAAAACTAAAGAAGAAATATATTGGGAAAGGTGTAAGACTCTACGAAGACACATTAGATGTAAATGGACCGTGTCCATCTCAAGCCAAAGGACCAGCCAATATATGCAAAGACGAAGGAAAAAATTACAGTTGGATATTCCCACTTTCTCAAGAAAATGGGTCTCTTGAATCACAGAAAAATTTCCACATTGGAGAGAAGTCAAATATAAGTAATGAACATGGAAACAAAATTGTTAATAAAAGGACATGCATGAGGGAGAAGCCATATAAATGCATGGAGTGTGGAAAGGACTTTAGCCAAAAGAATATCCTTATTACCCATCAAAGGATCCACACGGGGGAGAAGCCATATAAATGCATGGAATGTGGAAAGGACTTCAGAAGAAACAGTCATCTTAAATGCCATCAAAGGCTCCACACAGGGGAGAAGCCATATAAATGCATGGAGTGTGGAAAGGGCTTCAATGCAAGCAGTTACCTTACAACCCATCTAAGGCTCCACACAGGGGAGAAGCCCTTTAAATGCATGGAGTGTGGAAAGGACTTCAGAATAAGCGGTAATCTTATATGCCATCAAAGGATCCATACAGGGGAGAAGCGTTATAAATGCATGGAATGTGGAATGGGCTTCAATACATCCTATGGTCTTATTTCCCATAACAGAATTCATAGACTGGAGAATCCCCAAAGCAAAGATACATTTGGGTGAGAATGTATGCTAACTATTGATTTAATGGGTTCTATGTATGGATTTCCAGTTTACAGACTGAACTCTGAAAAGGGTTTTTGAATGTATCTGTATATATAGTATATAGCAGTGTCAAATTGGTGGCTCACGGGCTGGTTGCATCACATGCAGGAGACGCCCATCCCCCAGCTCCGCGAATAGGGAATGCAATGCATCACATAATGGCATAGTCACACGAGGAGTTTGAAACCCGTGGTGAATACTTTCATTTTGTTTTATTGTTTAGAAATGAGCTTCCTGTTCCCCAACTGCCATCATTCCCCCAGTTAGTCATAACTCTCAGAGGGATGCGAAGACGTCTAACAGATGCTGTTTCTCTAAGCCCAAAAGGAAAATATCAAAAAAATAATCAAATTGCACCCATGGTGTAGAACTGGGATCCCCAAAAGTAATTAAATTTGCATCCTCGGTGTAGAACTGAGACCTGAGTCAGCCGGTATCTATGCAGAAACATTGAACATTATACAGTCAAAGGCCTCATGATATGAGGGAATTGTCACATGGAGATCAATGAACAGCTTGTGGGAAGAACTGAAAGGATGAAAATTCCTCTCTCACAAAAGGAGCCAGAAGCGCCCCAAGTGCTTGTGCAATTTTCTTTTCAAGCATTATGGCCATATTTTGCTCTTCTGTAGTATGGTGAGGGCTACTAAGTCCACATTTGGATTAAATAAAATAAATATCAATGGTGTGGTTTCGTTCTAGTCATGTGTTATACTCATCTATTAAACTCTTAGTTGCTTTAAAAATGTATAACACATGTTGGTGTGAAGCTCAATTGCCAGTAATAGTTCTGGATCAAGCTGAACAATAAAGAGAACGAAAAGAGCAGAGCGGTTAACTCTGTTTTTTTAACCCCTTTTTTCTTTCCACGTACATCCTTTCTTTCACTAATTGTAGCTAAATCTCTTTTTCGCCCCTTGCATTGTCACCTCCATATGCAAAGGAATTTCTTCAAACCATTGGAATCTTCAGGTCTTGTGGTTGGAACGTTTTTCTCCGTTTATTCGTGATCTGTAGTTCATGAACGAATCCCAGTATCATTGCTCAGGCTGGTCCAGGTTCTTTCTTGCCCCTCAAAGGCATTTTTGGGTCATAGAGGTAAATCAGAAGGGATAAGACCTTTCACAAGCCAGAACGATCATCTAGGAATAAAGAAAAGTATTATGCGTAGCATGGATGAATAAAGTAGATGCAAGGGAAGACAAAATAGAAAGTGGATAAGAGAAACAAGGAGATTACCAGAAGGTCCATGGGAGGACTGTAATTTAATTAAATGATAACCAGTTGAAAGTTGCAGTTATATTGAGAAGCTTACTTGGGTTTCAGTCAAGGTTTAAAAACTTTTCTGCACCTTGATCTTCTTGCCTAGTTTTTTTTTTTTTTTTCCTGCTGTATAGTTTTATGTCTCTCCTGGGTTTCTTCCACGTACCTCCCTGAACACAGAGGAGTGGCTTCTGACGGATTTCCTCTTCACCTTCGTGCAGCCTAACGTCTGTTAAGAACCATGTTGCAATTAGCTAAAAAGTGGTGAGCAGGACCATCCAGTGAGTCTAGGAGAAATCCTAAATTCTGAATCATGCATACATCACTCTCAAAGATGGCATTTCCCTGTCCGGTGCCCTCTCTCGGCAAAGCTGGAGGCGGTGGATGACGCTGCTGCATGTGGAAGCGTGGAGGAGAAAGTTTGCAGGAAGCAGTTTCCTCCAAGTCCAACTTCTGCCTTGACAGATCTCTGGAGAGGAAGTGGGGGTGGTGGGGGAGCTATGTTCTGTCCCCACTAAACATTAGTCTGTGTGCAGCTCGACATGCAGCTACACCCACCTATACCCCAATAAAACAGACCGTGTGCGTAGATCTGAATGCTTTGTTGAAAGAACAGGATTTGGTGAAACTGGAGAAAATAGGAATACATACAATGAGAACTGAAATACAAGAGAGACCGTATTCAGTTATTGCTGAACATAACAATGAATAACTAGAAGCAATTTAAATCTGGCAGTGATGCTCTGTGTGTGGGATGTGGGTTTGTCCTTGGATGACCATGTGCCATGGATTAAGATGGCTGCTTCTGCCTTCTCCAAATGGTAAGGAAATGGAGTCTGGCTTCCAAGTGTGCACTTGGTTTGAGAGTGCGGGATAATAATAATAATAATAATAATAATAATAATAATAATAATAATAATAATAATAATAATAATAATAATAATAATAATAATAATAATAATTAAAAAAAAAAAACAATTTTATTTATATACCGCCCTTCTCCCAAAGGACTCAGGGCGGTGTACAGCCAGAATTAAAACATAAATATAACAGATATCATGGTTAAAATTAATTAAAATCATTAAATAGTTTTGGCCGAATTTTAAAACCCAAAATTAAAACCCAATTTAAAATCATTCAGTTAGACAGCCCCGCCTGTCGGAACAGTAGGGTCTTGAGGGCACAGCAGAAGACCCGGAGGTCAGAGATGTTACGAATGTCTGGGGGCAATTCATTCCAAAGGGCAGGAGCTCCGACAGAGAAGGCTTTCCTCCTGGGTGTCACCAGCCGATATAACTTGGCCGACGGTACCCTGAGGAGTCCCTCTCTGTGGGAGCGAACTGGTCGGTGGGAGGCTGTTGGTGGCAGAAGGCGGTCCCGTAAATAGCCTGGACCTATGCCATGGAGCACTTTAAAGGTGGTAACCAACACCTTGAATTGCACTCGGAAGACCACTGGGAGCCAGTGCAGCTCGCGCAGGAGGGGTGTTACATGGGCATAACGAGGTGCGCCCATAACCACCCGCGCGGCCGCATTCTGGACTAGTTGGAGCCTCTGAGTGCTCTTCAAGCGGAGCCCCATGTAGAGAGCATTACAGTAGTCCAGACGGGAGGTGATGAGGGCGTGAGTGACCGTGCGCAAGGCGTCCCGGTCCAGAAAGGGACGCAACTGGCGGATCAGGTGAACCTGATAAAAAGCCCCCCTGGCTACAGCCATTATATGCTCTTCTAAAGACAGCCATGGGTCCAGGAGGACACCCAGATGGCGAGCCCTCTCTTTGGGGGGCAAAGATTCACCCCCAATAGTCAGCGATGGCACCTGCTGACTATACCGGGACGCCGGAAGCCACAGCCACTCAGTCTTGCAAGGGTTGAGTTTGAGCCTATTTCTCCCCATCCAGACCCGCACGGCCTCCAGGCAGTGAAACATCACATCAAGGGCATCATTGGGGTGATTTGGAGTGGAGATGTACACCTGGGTGTCATCAGCGTACTGATGGACTCTCACCCCAAAACCATGGATGATCTCACCCAGTGGCTTCACATAAATGTTGAACAGAAGGGGCGAGAGGACCGACCCCTGCGGCACCCGCCAAACGAGGTGCCTCGAGGTCGACCTCTGCCCCCCTGCCAACACAAACTGCGAGCGGTCGGAGAGGTAGGAGGAGAACCACCGTAACACGGTGCCTCCAATTCCTAACCCCCTCAACCGCTGCAGCATGATACCATGGTCGATGGTATCAAAAGCCGCTGAGCGATCTAATAGGACCAGGACAGAGGAGCAACCCCTGTCCCGAGGCCTCCAGAGATCATCAACCAACGTGACCAATGCAGTTTCTGTGCTGTACCCCTGCCTGAAGCCCGACTGGTACAGGTCCAGATAGACAGCTTCCTCCAGGTACCGGGGTAGCTGTCGTGCCACCATACTCTTGACAACCTTCACCACAAAACGAAGGTTGGAGACTGGACGGTAATTTGCTAATACAGCCGGGTCCAGGGATGGCTTCTTGAGGAGGGGCCTCACCACCGCCTCTTTCAAGGTGGCGGGAAAGGCACCCTCACTCAAAGAAGCATTTTCTAATCCCCTGGAGCCAGCCTCGTGTAACCTCCCGGGAGGCCAGTACCAACCAGGAGGGACACGGGTCCAATAAACATGTGGCAGCATTAAGCCTATCCAGAATCCTGTCCACGTCCTCGGGAGCCACAGGGTCAAACTCTTCCCAGATAATATTCTCAAGACTCACCCCCGTTTCCTTCCCCGGACACACCCAGTCGGAGTCCAAGCCTTCCCGAATCTGAGCGACTTCATCATGCAGGAATTGCACAAAATCCTCAGCTCGACCCTGCAAACGATCTTCCCGCACTCCCACCCGAAGGAGGGAATGGGTCACCCTAAACAGAGCGGCTGGGTGGCTGGGATGATGGGTATATGGGTAGGATCTGCTTCAGACAATATACTTGGGAAATGTTTGTCCCTCTGGGTACTAGATGGGGCAAGAGAACAACAACAGTATATAAAGTTACACAGTGTGGCATGACAAGCTACATGGGGGAGGCCGGCCAGGCAAAGCAGGAGGCAGAGGGCGACGCTGCCCGTGGAGCTGCAGTGTCCAACTTCTCCCTTGACAGATCTCTGGAGAGCAAGAGAAGCAGCACTCCCTGGTCCTTCACGAGGGAGTCTGGCCAGTGGTGGGATACAAATAATTTAACAACTGGTTCTCTGCCCTAATGATTTCTTCCAACAACCAGTTCACCAAACTGCTCAGAAAGTTAACAACTGGTTCTCCCGAAGTGGTGTGACCCGGCTGAATCCCTGAGTCTGGCCCTTCTTAAAAGGGAATCCCTGTTTCCAATATTGTGTGTTAAGGATGCTGGCTTGTTGGGGCAGCCTTCCCTCATGCAACTCCCCTGCCACCCTCTCCTCCTCTCCAGAGATCTTCAGGGGAGACACATCTGGAGGGCACCGTGCAAACTCCATATTGGCTGCTTCTACCTCTCCAAGCCCCCTGGGTGGTGGGAGGAAAAAGCCAAAAAAGGGAACCTGTGATGGGCCAGGCAAGGCTGGGGGGGGCGGAATCTGGAGGTCTCCAGCAGAAGAAGGTGAGACCAGGGTGAGCGCCAAAGCTTTGTCCACCAGAGCAGCCTCGCCGTCCCTCTCAGGTCACACAGAGGACCCCTGGATGGTGGTGCAGGCTATCCGGAGCTCCTGCAAGTGGAAGGCAAGAGCCCAGCCCTCAAACTCCCTGGGCATCGCGACCCCACAACTCAGCCCAGCCCTGCTTACCTCCACCTCGAGGCTGCTGCTACTATGCTCACTCTCCTTGGCCAGGTTGCTCATGATGGGTACAGGAAGGCGAGGCTCATGGATGCTGCTGTCTGCTTTTCCCAGCGGGTTGTGGCCACAGCTTCCCCGCCTGGCTTGTGGGCTTCCCAGGCTGGAGGAGAGTGGAGGGGTGGCAGGGCTCCTGCTGGACAGGGGCTGCTGCTTCCAGTGCCACCATTGTGTGTGTGTGGAGCCCCGAGGTGCACAAGTATGATGCAGGTGGGTCAGGGCCAAGCGCAGCTTATTGGACATCCGGGCTCACATCACCCAGGGGGACTGCCCAGCTGGGCTGGTGTGGGCCGGGGCCGAGGCAGTGGAGGCAGGCCCCTTGCCATCTCCAGGGCAGCCCTGCAGGCCAGATCTAAACACATTATGGGGTGGTAGAGGGGCATATGGATGTGCAACGTTCTTTATCTTTTTCTTTATCTTTATTTGATTTGTATACCGCCCTACTCCCGAAGGACTCAGGGCGGTGAACAGCCAAACAGTAAAATACATAAATATAAAATTTAAAAAACAAGATAAAATCGAATTAAACAATTTGGCCCAGACAAATTAAAACACCCCAATCATTTAAAAAACAGATTAAAATTTGCATATTAAAAAGAAAAGAAAGAAAAGAGGGAAAAGATTAGGCCAGTGTGCCGAGATGAACAAATTAACGTTAGAAATCAACGATAGAGAGGATACTGATTATTATAGTGTGTGGGACAAGTGGTACGAGTGGTTAGAGAAAAGGAAATCAAAATGAGGCTCGAAAGAACTAGGGACGAGCATGAGGATTAGCTAAATGGGTATAGCAAAACAAGGCGTAATACATATAGTAGGAAATAAAATGTAGCAAGGATATGTTATATATGTAAATAAAATGTAAGACTGTATACTAAGGATGATATAAGCAAATACTATGTGTACTACTTGTTAAATTAAGACAAACAGGCTATACCATGTAAATAAGAAGTAAATATAATATATACGTATATGTATTTGTACCTTTGCACCATGAACCGGAATGGCAAAAATTGTATTATAATTTCTTAACAATAAAAACCTATTAAAAAAAAAAAATTAGGCCAGGCCTGCCTGGTGGAATAAAAAGGTCTTCAAAGCGTGGCGGAAGGTGCGCAGATCCGGGATCCTCCGTATCTCTGTGGGGAGCTCATTCCAGACAGTAGGTGCCCCCACAGAAAAGGCTCTCCCCCTAGGGGCCGCCAGTCGACATTGTTTGGCTGACGGCACCCGGAGGAGCCCCTCTTTATGAGAGCGTACCGGCCGGTGGGAGGCTATTGGTGGTAGTAGGCGGTCCCGTAGGTAACCAGGTCCTAAGCCATGGAGCGCTCTAAAGGTGGTAACCAAAACCTTGAAGCGCACCCGGAAGACCACCGGGAGCCTGTGCAGTTCGCGCAGGAGAAGTGTTACATGGGAACGCCATGTCGCTCACATTACCACCCGTGCGGCTGCACTCTGTGCCAGTTGGAGCCTCCGGGTGCTCCTCAAGGGGAGCCCCATGTAGAGAGTGTTACAATAGTCCAGGCGGGAAGTGACGAGGGCATGAGTGACCGTGCGTAAGGAGTCACGATCCAGAAAAGGACGCAACTGGCGAATCAGGCGAACATGATGAAAAATCCTCCCGGTCATGGCCGTCAAATGCTCTTCTAAAGACAGCCGTGAATCCAGGAGGACGCCCAAGTTGCGAACCCTCTCTGTGGGGGCCAATGATTTGCCCCCAATAGTCAGTGATGGCGCCAACTGACTATATCGGGACGTCGGAAACCACAGCCATTCGGTCTTGGATGGGTTGAGCCTGGGCCTATTCCTCCCCATCCAGATCCGCACGGCCTCCAGACACCGGGACATCACTTCAAGGGCATCGTTGGGGTGTTCACTTCAAGGGCATCATTGTTTATCTGACAATCAGATAAAGCTGGTAGAGAATGTTTCCATTCTGTCCAAGTGTTCCTCTTTTCATCAGGTAGTGGGGCATCCCAGCCAGATGTTTCACAACTTAAGTCTCTGAGTAATGCTTTACCTTGAATTGTGACAGGGGCGGCAAATCCTAATGAGTCTTAAGGTGATTTATTGCAGACAAGACACCTCTATGAGAGAAAGGTTTCTATTCTGTACTTACTCAGAAGATAAAGAAATCAGTTTTCAAGTCCCACAGGAGACCAAGATTTTGTTGGACAGGTAGATAAACAGTTCCTAAATCGAAATCTCTTCAATTGTTAGAGTAGTCTTGAAATGGAAAGGCTTCCATAACTTTTTTACTGTGGGAAGCAATCTTGTGAAGCCTGAGAATTGAACAGGCAAGCATTTCCTGTGTTCTTTTGAGGAGACTCATTGCAGACTCATTTGAAGGCATGGATTTTAAGCAGTCATCTACGTAGAAGTCCTTTTCTATGAATTGTCTAACATCGGAGCCATATTCTGTCTCACCTTCTTTAGCAGAATGTCTGAGTCCATTGATAGCGATTGCAGGGGAAAGGCTGTTGCCAAAGATGTGTACTTTCATACACTACTGTGTGATGTCTCTGGACGGATCACTGTCCCTGAACCAAAGAAATCTTAAGAAATGTCTGTGTTCCTCTCTAAAGAAGAAGCAATGGAACCCCTGTTGGATTTCGGCTACGAAAGCAACAGAGTCTCTACGAAATTGCAAAAATACTCTAGAAGTTTGTTATTGAGGTCTGCACCCAATAGGAGAATATCATTTCAAGAAACTCCTTCAAATTTGGCACTAGAGTCAAATACTGCCCTAATCTGACCTGGCTTTTTAGAGTGATATACTCCAAATAGTAGTAGGTACCAGCACTCCTCATTTCTAAAAAGAGTCAGTCCTCAATAGACAATACCTCAAAAGATTGTCAACTTTTATCTTTGTGGAAGAAGCATCCATCAAATCTCTCTCAAGAACTCTCTCAAGAACTGTTTTTCAGGAGGATCTCCCAGGAAGCTCCAAATCAGGACAGATCAAGAAGTAGTATAAGGTTCTTCAACTCCTCTGATAGATCCTAGCTTTCTCGTCTTCTCTAAGTATCTCTTCTATAGCATACCTCCTCCCGTTTTATTAATTATGCTTTTTGAAATTATGTCTCCCTCACAGGGAAGAATAGGAGGAAGCTGTCACTTTCTTTTGGGGGAGAAGGATCTGTGACTGAATCCCCAACGCAGGTAAGAGACGAACATTCATTTACTAGATTTGCATTTTCCCTTTCCCTCAAGAAATCACCTGATCGACATATTTTAGGTAGTCCTTGACTTATGGCCACACTTGTGCCCAAAACCTTTGTTGGCAAGTCTCTTTCACAGGAAAGAGTAGAAAGAAGTTATTTTTTCCTGATGGTAGAGCTGAAATAGTGGTCAAAATTCCAACTCAGGAATTTTATTAGATTTGTATTCTCTCTTTCCTTCAGAAAGTCAAGCTGGGGTACATAGTACAGTCACCTTTCATGTTTCCTTCTTGTTTCGGTTGACTTATTCCTTTCTTCCACAGCAACAGATTTAAATGAGATTCTTGTTAGGGAATGTCTTTTTTTCTAATACCACTACTTTAAATACAAGGCTATTTACTAAAGTAGAACATTGCCAAAAGCTTCCCAGTCAAGGACCCCCTTCCTGGCCACCATTTCTCCGCTCTTTGCATGAGCACCTTTCATGCCCAGAAAATCCACCAGGGGAGGCACTTCAGCTTTGGGCCTTACAAGTTGGGAAGGCAGTGACGTCATTCGGTTTTTGCCTTTCTAGGATACTGGAGTCTCTCTCACTTTAACCCTTTGAGCTTTGCAGGAAGTTAAAAAGGCTGCCAGAAAGTCTTAAGGATCCAGAAGTGGAAAAGGTAGGTGTGTGTGGTGTGTCTGTGTGTTCTTCTTATAGAAAGGGAGGCAGAGGATTCTCACTCTAAAAAAGGGAAGAGAAACCTTCCTAGTCCTCATCCAGGTTCAGTTTTAGGGGGTTTGAGGAGTGGGAGATCCCTTCCTGAGACCCCCTGTTTCCCTCCCTCCTAACCCCCCTTTCCCATGGTTGTAAGAGGCATGGGGGAAAGCAGAGACCACGCACGCTGCCCTGGGGAATAAATCCAGATCCTCGGAAAGGAAAGTGGGGGGAACCTGAGAGTCCTTCGCACCCCATTTCCTGGTGAAGGCTCCTGTGTAAGGGGAGAGCTTGCATGGGAAATCTCAAGACGGAAATAAGAAATATATTTGCAAGGAAGAGAAGCAGATTGTTGTCCCCAATTCGGGTCTGAGCCTGGTGCAGAAGCCAATGATGGACGCCAGACACGAAGTGCAGGTTTTCCTATTGCTCTTTATTGGAGCACTCCAAGGAAAAGGGCTCCTGGCAGTGGTGAAATCCATTTTTTTTTTACTACCGGCTCTGTGGGCGTGGCTTGGTGGGCGTGGCAGGGGAAGGATACTACAAAATCCCCATTCCCACCCCACTCCTGGGGCCAGCTAGAGGTGGTATTTGCTGGTTCTCTGAACTACTCAAAATTTCCGCTACCGGTTCTCCAGAACCTGTCAGAACCTGCTGGATTTCACCCCTGGCTCCTGGCCAAAATGCCAAGAACCAGGAACAAAGGATTAAGAAACCCTTATACATTTTCACTAAAAGAAAAGGCGGGACAAGGCGATATAATTGGGGATGTGTGTTGATGAATGGGCCAATCCACTACTTTCTGGTTGTTTGAATATATTCTCTTTTCTATAAGAGAATCGCAAAATGGAACTGATTTGTTCATCTTCTTTAGAGACAACGTTATTTCTTTGGCTAAGAGGACTTTAGGTATTCCCATGGCTAGGTGAACATTGCTATGAATGTGTGGGAAGCCCCTCCCCCCAAGAATGAAATATTTGGGGGAATATTAAAAAGAAGCAGAGTATTATATTTCCCCTAAGGGAGAAATGGAGACACATGCTCTTGAGGGAGGCAGAAACCAGCCTCAGTCTCCCTGCCCCAAGCGGAAACTGAGGAGGCCAGCTTTTAGAAATGGAGATTTTGTAATCCATTCAGAAAGACTGGGTCAGGCAGAAACATCAGATAAGCAACACAATTAAGCCAAAGGTTGACCAAATTAGCTCAGACAAAGACCTAGGATTTGCATTTCCCCATTTGCCTATAGAGCCAACCATGATCCCATAGGAATCCAGAAGGTATAAAATCCACCCACTCTAAACTCCATTTTGTCAGCTGTCCCAGAATCACATGTGGTTGGTGGATCTGCTTCAACAATAAAGGGAAACTTTCTTTCCAATCGGCCTCTAGCCTCCATTTTATTTCCAGCGCCTTCCTGCTGTATTGGAACCGAACCAGATGGATATTTCTTTCAAGAAATGAAAAAGCATTTGGTGGTACACAACTTTCCTTGCACTAATTTAGAATTGTGTTTTAGGACAGAGAAAGAATGGCAAGCCGTCCTTTAGCAAGTGGGGGAAGTAGAAAAGGCCCTTCCGGTGCTCAGTCTGGAATCCACGGGGAGATCTGGGCAAGAACTGGGCAGAAGATGCTGGAAGAAGGAACCATCGTTTCACAAGTTCACGCCTGGAACTTCAGGAGCGTCCAATATCGGGAGGATGAAGGTCCCCGAGGACTTTGCAGCCGACTGCACTACTTTTGTAGTCGATGGTTGAAACCAGAAAAGTACACAAAAGCGCAGATGCTGGACCTGGTGGTTCTGGAGAAGTTCCTGGTGCTTCTGCCCCTGCAGATGGAGAGCTGGGTGCGGGAGTGTGGAGCAGAGACCAGCTCCCAGGCGGTGGCCCTGGTGGAAGGCTTCCTCCTGAGCCAGGCGGAGGAGAAGAAGGAGCAGGTTGAGTTGCAGGTGAGAGGACGTCCTCTTGGGACTCCAGAAAAGTTGAATATAATAAACAAGAAGTTCACATTTTTGTATCCTTTTCATAGTTTTATTAAGCTTATCAAGATATAAAATACAAAAAAATGAAAATATTAGGAAATGGTGGGTGGGAAGGGAAGGGAAAGAAGTTTAGGGGAAAGGGGGAAAAAGAAAACCATTGACTTTTTTTTGTGCAGACACATAAAATGATAACATTACAGTTTCAATGTTTTACATATTTATTTGAACATGTATTTGAAATTTCTTTATATATCTTTGGTAGTTTATCAGTGTTAACTAGAAGGATACATCATTTTATAAAAGATTTATTTTAAATTATAATTTAATACAAATTTTAAACTCTTCAACCACATGTCTTCCTTTTCTTCAGGCATTATATTATACACAAACATCTTTGCCTTTGGACCAATGTATTCAAATTTTGATGTCTTCTTACCAGCCTTTCCTGGCATTCATACTATGTGGAGATGCTTCACTAAACTTTGTGTAGTTCCCTTATCCATTCTAGAAGAAAGATTTTGCACAGGGATTTTTTTCTTCCTTCCCAGCCTAATTGATCGACACCGAGTGATTTGCAGTGGTGTTCACTGGAAAAGAAACCACTTCATGATGTGTGATGTCCATTAATTCTTTTCTCCTATTTCAAGCCCTTTGCAATGGAGATCAGAGATCCTGAGAGAAAGAGGCATCCGTCAAATCTCCCTGAAGAACTGTCTTTCAGGGGGATCCCTCCGGGAGATCCAATTCAGGACACCTCAGGAGGTAATATAAGGTCCTTCCACTCCTTTGATCAATCCTAACTTTCTCATCTTCTCGGTGTCCTCTCCTCTATAGCATTCCTCCTCCCATTTTACTCATGATGCTTTTTGAAATTCTGTCTCCCTCACAGGGAAGAATAGAAGGAAGTTGACTCTTTGTTCTGAGGGAGCAGAAACCAGGATTGAACCTCCAACTCAGGTAAGAGAAGAACATTCATTTACTAGATTTTTATTTTCCATTTCCCTCAGGAAATCAGAGGATGTGGACCAGGGGTGGGTTCTATTTACCTTTACTACCAGTTCGCAGCGGAGCCGCGCGTGCGTGCTTGCTTCGGTTGCGCGTGTGTACTCTTCTGCGCATGTGCAGAAGCATTTTGATTACATCGGGGTCAGTGGGCGGGGCCTCCAGCCGGCTTTACTACCAGTTCTGGCAAACCGCCAGTGAAGTGGACAGCATAGGTTCGTGATGGCGAACTTATGGCATGGAAGGGAAATTTTTTTTAAAAATCCTGCAGGGATTTGATCCCATGCTGGGATGTGATCTGAATAAGACCGGCTTGTCCTACTGTTGAAACGCCCCCAGGCTCCTTCCCGAAGGGAGGGTGGCTCTTCTCTGCCTTTCGCCATCATGCGCAGTGCAAGGGGCAGTGCGCAAGTCCACTTTTTGTTTTTGATGCGCTCACCACTCACAGCAACTGGGACCGTTGGGGGGGGACGCACTGGCAGCAGGCAGAGGCCTGCTTCTCTCCCCCATTCTTTTCTCCTCTGCTTTAGCCCAGCCCTCCACCCAGCAGCTAAGGATGAGGGGCTCGCCCACCTCTCGATGAGGCCTCTCAGGGAACACGGCATGCAAATCAAAAGAAAGCGCTGCGAGTCCAGGTGTCCTTTCCCTTTGTTCCCCCTCCTCTCTCTCTTGTCCCCTCTCCCTCCCTGGGAACTGTGTGGGGAGAGGGGAAGACCATCAAGGGGATGCTCGCAAGGCACTCTTGGCAAAAGACGAAGCGTCCCAACTGCCAGAGTCCAGAATTTTAAGGCAGAAAAGTGAAAGGGGGGAGGATTTCAAAGGCCCTGGAGAAAAAGAGCAAAGCTCTTCTGTTTGCTGTCTGAAGCGGGTGCCGAGGCCAACCCTGTGGGAAGCAATCTGCTTCTCCACGCAAAACCTCATGGGCTTTGCAGAACCATAGGTCTCCAACAACAGCTACACCTTCTGCCTTCGAAAACTCGCCAGGATGTAATCTGAATGACATCACTGGTGACGAAATGCTTCCCAAAAGGGGGGCAACCGATGGGAAGGGCGCAGTGCTTTGTTTTGAATTAGGCGCTGCTGCTGACTTGGAAAGAATGCCTTTTACACTTTAGTTTTGGCATGCCGTGTCACCCGAGAGGTCTCATGGAGAGGCGGGCGAGCCCCTTCTCCTTTGCTGTGCGGCTTCTCTCCCCCGTTTCTCCTGTGCTTTAGCCTAACCTTGCCCCCTATCACCCTCCGAAGAGGGAGGCCAAGGTTTAAAGGGGATGGGAGGGCCGGGACAAATCTGAAAGAAACAGACTGGCAAAGAGGCAGCCCTCAAGCGACTGCTCTCCCTTTTTTCCTTCTCCTTCCTTCTGAAGTGAAGGTTGAAAAGCCCCATCATGTCCAGACACCATCCCACTGCCTGTCTTTGATTGCAGAGTGTGCGGCAGAGGTGGAGGACTAGGTTGGACCATGCGGCCAAACGTGCACGGGCTCAGCCATGGCACCATCCTGCCCTGCCCCTTGGCTACAACTGCGGGCAAGCAAGGACAGGCAGAGTGGCAGAGGGTTCACATGGCGCATCTGGTAGGCCAGATTGTGTACCTCCCCCCCCCGCGCCTCTGCCAGTGCCGCTGCTATGAGGCAAAGCAAGTGGTGGGGTGGGGGATGGCGCCAAGGCGTAGCCCCTGCATTCTCAGCCCTCGCCGTCCAGCCTGTTCCTCCACTTCCACCGCACACTCCACACAAGCAAAGACAGTTGGTGGGACAGATCACATGCCTCCCCCCACCCTCCGCGCAGGCTGCAGTTGTTTCCAGAGATCATCTGGCCCCTCCATGCCCACTGCCCCACCCTCACATGCTTTTTGTTCTGTCCATTTCGTCATCTGAACCATGGATTCCTACTAAGCAAAGCTATTTCCCTTAGTGTATATGTTTGCTTTGGGAATTTCTAAATAAGAGGAAAGATGCTGTTCTATACTTTTTTCCCCTTTCAGGAGAGTCTTGTGTCCTTTGAGGAGGTGGCTGTGTATTTCCCCGAGGAGGAGTGGTCTCAGCTGGATCCTCACCAAAGAGCTCTGCATTGGGAAGTCATGCTGGAGAATTATAAGAACGTGGTCTCTCTTGGTAAGGGTTTCCTACTCGCCAGTCGGAGAGTTCAGGAAGACATTTTGTAGTTAGATGCGATTAGTTAGTTCTTCCGAAAACATCTCTAAATAGATATCCCCTCTTCAGAGGGAGAAGGAAAAGTTCTGTTTTTCTACTGCTCCTAGGAAGAAATGGGTCTAGGGCATTCTGCTTAGATATATCCAGTCCAATTTATTTTTGTGTTTCTATTTCAACATTTTAGTGACAAAGTAATTCCTTAGTTTGAGGTAATGCCAAACTCCATCACACAGATTTCAACTATTGTGGCCCAGATGCTTCTATATCATTCAAGTTTTTTGATTTCATGTCTTTTTCAAGGATTTATGCCTCGTCCATAGAAATATTTTCATTTCAATACCATGCTATTATAAGGATACAAATATGCAATATATATTAGAATTTGGCACAATACCTGAAGGCAATTAATATGACTTCTTACAGAGTGATCTTTTTCCCTAACCTTTCTCTCACTTTCATTTCTCTTTCCCTTTGAAGGTGAGAATAAGAATGACAATAATGACTCTGGAGAACCAATCGAAGTCTTTAGACAAGGAGACGTAATGGAGAAACCTGCAATTCAAACAGAATTCCAAAGGCAGGAGGGAAATCTGTCAACTAACTGGAATAAGAAAAGCTCACCTTCGATTGTTGCTCAGATGCAGGACTTTATTGATCAACGAGGAAAACTAAAGAAGACATATATTGGGAAAGATGTAAGACTCTATGAAGACACATTAGATGTAAATGGACCCTGTCCATCACAAGCCAAAGGACCAGCCAATATATGCAAAGACAAAGGAAAAAATTACAGTTGGATATTCCCACTTTCTCAAGAAAATGGGTCTCTTGAATCAAAGAAAAATTTCCACATCGGAGAGAAGTCAAATATAAGTAATGAACATGGAAACAAGATTGTTAATAAAAGGACATGCATGAGAGAGAAGCCATATAAATGCATGGAATGTGGAAAGGGCTTCAGAAGAAACAGTCATCTTAAACGCCATCAAAGGCTCCACACAGGGGAGAAGCCATATAAATGCATGGAGTGTGGAAAGGGCTTCAATGCAAGCAGTTACCTTACAACCCATCAAAGGCTCCACACAGGGGAGAAGCCCTTTAAATGCATGGAGTGTGGAAAGGACTTCAGAATAAGCGGTAATCTTATATGCCATCGAAGGATCCATACAGGGGAGAAGCGTTATAAATGCATGGAGTGTGGAATGGGCTTCAATACATCCTATGGTCTTATTTCCCATAACAGAATTCATAGACTGGAGAATCCCCAAAGCAAAGATACATTTGGGTGAGAATGTATGCTAACTATTGATTTAATGGGTTCTATGTATGGATTTCCAGTTTACAGACTGAACTCTGAAAAGAGCTTTTGAATGTATCTGTATATATAGTATATAGCAGTGTCAAATTGGTGGCTCATGGGCTGGTCACATCACATGCAGGATAAGCCCACTCCAGCTCCATGAATGGGGAATGCAATGCGTCAAATAATGGTGACGACATGCGGGGAGTTTGAAACCCGTGGTGAATACTTTCATTTTGTTTTATTGTTTATAAATGAGCTTCCTGTTCCCCAACTGTCATCATTCCCCCAGTTAGTCATAGCTCTCAGAGGGATGCAAAGACGTCTCACAGATGCTGTTTCCCTAAGCCCAAAAGGAAAACATCAAAAAAATAGTCCAATTGCACCCATGGTATAGAACTGGGATCCCCAAAAGTAATTATATTTGCATCCTCAGTGTAGAACTGGGACCTGAGTCAGCCGGTATCTATGCAGAAACATTGAACATTATTCAGTCAAAGGCCTCATGATATGAGGGAATTGTCACATGGAGATCAATGAAGAGTGTATGGGAAGAGCTAAAAGGATGAAAATTCCTCTTTCACAAATGGAACCAGAAGCGCCCCAAGTGCTTGTGCAATTTTCTTTTCAAGCATTATGGCCATATTTTGCTCTTCTGTAGTATGGTGTGGACTAGGAAGTCCACATGTGGTTTAAATAAAATTAATTAAATATGAGTGGTGTGGTTTTGTTCTAGTCATGTATTATACTCATCTATTAAACTCTTTAGTTGCTTTAAAAATGTATTAACACAGGATTTTTGGAAGGATTTGGAGGGGGCATATTTCAGGATTTGAGAGACTCATGTTGGTTTGAAGCTCAATTGCCAGTAATAGTTCTGGATCAAGCTGGACAATAAAGAGAACGAAAAGAGCAGAGAGGTTAATTCAGGTTTTTTAACCCCTTTTTTCTTTCCACGTACATCCTTTCTTTCACTAATTGTAGCTAAATCTCATTTTCCCCCCTTGTATTGTCACCTGCATATGCAGAGGAATCTCTTCAAACCATTGGAATCTTCAGGTCTTGTGGTTGGAACGTTTTTCTTTGTTTATTTGTGATCTGTAGTTCATGAACGAATCCCAGTATCATTGCTCAGGCTGGTCCAGGTTCTTTCTTGCCCCTCAAAGGCATTTTTGGGTCATAGAGGTAAATCAGAAGGGATAAGACCTTTCACAAGCCAGAACGATCATCTAGGAATAAAGAAAAGTATTATGCGTAGCATGGATGAATAAAGTAGATGCAAGGGAAGACAAAATAGAAAGTGGATAAGAGAAACAAGGAGATTACCAGAAGGTCCATGGGAGGACTGTAATTTAATTAAATGATAACCAGTTGAAAGTTGCAGTTATATTGAGAAGCTTACTTGGGTTTCAGTCAAGGTTTAAAAACTTTTCTGCACCTTGATCTTCTTGCCTAGTTTTTTTTTTTTTTTTTCCTGCTGTGTAGTTTTATGTCTCTCCTGGGTTTCTTCCATGTACCTCCCTGAACACAGAGGAGTGGCTTCTGACGGATTTCCTCTTCACCTTCGTGCAGCCTAACTTCTGTTAAGAACCATGTTGCAATTAGCTAAAAAGTGGTGAGCAGGACCACCCAGTGAGTCTAGGAGAAATCCTAAATTCGGAATCATGCATACATCACTCTCAAAGGTGAAATTTTCCTAGAATCATAAGGTCTGTTCTGTTCTCATTACGTTACATGTTACTCTGTGTGGAGCTTGACATTCAGCTAAACCCAACTATCCTAAGGTGACCAGATTTTAACATTGGTAAAGAGGGACATTGTGAGCGTGGCTTATTTTGTGGGCGTGGCTAGCTGGTCATGTGACTGGGTGGGCGTGGCTAGCTGGTCATGTGACTGGGTGGCCATGGCTATGTGTATAGGGTAAGGTGAACAGATTTTAACATTGGTAAGAAGGACACCATTGTGGGCGTGGCTTATTGTGTGGGCGTGGCTTGGAGGCCATGTGACTGGGTGGGCGTGGCTAGCTGGTCATGTGACCTGGTGGCCATGGCTATGTGTATAGGGACTACTCAGAGAGCTGAAAAGTCATTTCTGACAGGTCCTCGCACTTTTGACTGGTCCTCACACTTATGACCATCCTCACATTTATGCCCGTGCAGCATTCTTAACAACCATGTCACTCATTTCACAACTGCTTCTCTTCACCATGATGACAAGATAGGGCAAAAATGTAAAATGTGAGGACAGTCGTAAGTTCGAGGACTGGTCAAAAGTGCGAGGACCAGTCAAAAATAACTTTTTCAGCCCTCTGAGTAGTCCATATGCACAAAAGGATACAGCAATAGAGAGGGATGAAGGAAGGGAAGGGAAATTAGAGTAGGAGTGACGGTAAGAGAGGGAGGAAGAGAGGAGGAGAAGGAGAAAGGAAGAGGAAATAGGGAGGAGAAGAAGAGGGTGGGGGGAAGAGAAAGTAAGAAGGAAAGAAAAGAGAGGTGGTAGGTTTGAGGAGAAAGATTGCTGTACAATAAAAAAGATGAAAGGGAAGAAAGCCAACCCCAAACAAATATAAAGATATTAAGATAAAGAATGAATTGTTAAACTTTAAAGAATAAAAGAGAACAAATATGAATAAATAGCAATAATTAGAAACACACATACAAACATACAATGTATTTTCTTTGAACAGAATATTTGGCTGGTTCACAAATTTAAACAGTGTTTAGTCATTTCAATTAAATTTACAATTTCTATATTTCCTTTTTGCCATATTTATTCCTCATCTATTTTTTTAAAAAAAACAATATTACCCTTCATCCTCATCTCTAATCTTAATCAAATTCAATTTTTCCCTTCTATTCTCTATTATACCCCTTTCCATTGTCATCTATTTTTATATCCATCCTCACATTGGTTAATTATGTAATTATGTAATACAGTTGTTTAATACAAATTCAACATTTTAATATAAATCAATTAGTTATATAACTATCTTTTTTGTATATTAATATGAACATGAATATTCCAATTATTTCCATGCAATCCAATTTCTTACAAATCAATTAATTATATTTACCAATAATAATAAACCAAATAATTTCCCCCATATATTCCTCCAAACCATTCTAACCATTTCTGCTTTCAACACAGTATACAATTAATAGTATCTCAATTATTACAATTCCCTAGTTAAAAAGAGCTTTTTTTTCTTTTGTGTTTTAAAATCTTGAACTCTCCTCTTTTGCCCTAAATAATTTCCCATTGTTTCCACCTACCTTTTTTGGTGAGGAAAAGGAAAATAAATCTGCTGCCTAATTTTCCAACGTTGCAAGCAAACACCAAAGCCAACAGCCTGTTTTACTTTCATTTTCGTTTTGAGCTTGGTTTGCACAAAGAGAAAAAAAAACTGCTGGAGCAATTTAGGAAGAGCAGAGCCCTGCGCGGCCCTTTGAAGCCCCGCGGCAAGAGTTCAAACAGTTTTTTTTCCCTCTAGCCATCAGCGGGGACTCAGGAGACAGAATGAAAAATCGGGACTTTTTTAAAACGCCGCGGGACGCGGGACAAATTGCTCAAAAGCGGGACTGTCCCGCCAAAAGCGGGACGTCTGGTCACCTTAAACTATCCTCCAATAAAACAGACCATGTCGGTAGATCTGGATGCTTTATTAAAGGAACAGGATGGGTGGGTGCATACATGCATACACACACACACACACTCACACACACACAAACATAAACACTGCATTCCAGGTTTAGGGGACTTTTATCCACAGAGGATGGAGAGGGCCTTCTCCTCAAGCTCAGGCATGATTGGTAGTTTCAAAGTTCAGATGTGGATAAAAGTCTGCAAGCTTGGAATGGTGGGGGGCAGGGTGGATGTGCATAGCATGTCAAAGTAGATCTTCTTCTCCCAATCCCAGACATCTTTGGCATTTCCCTGTCCAGTGCCCTCTCTCAGCAAAGCTGGAGGCGGTGGATGACGCTGCTGCATGTGGAAGCGTGGAGGAGAAAGTTTGCAGGAAGCAGTTTCCTCCGAGTCCAACTTCTGCCTTGACAGATCTCTGGAGAGGAAGAGGGGGTGGTGGGGGAGCTATGTTCTGTCCCCACTAAACATTAGTCTGTGTGCAGCTCGACATGCAGCTACACCCCTCTATCCCCCAATAAAACAGACCGTGTGCGTAGATCTTAATGCTTTGTTGAAAGAACAGGATATGGTGAAACTGGGGAAAATAGGGATACATACAATGAGAACTGAAATACAAGAGAGATCGTATTCAGTTACTGCTGAACATAACAATGAATAACTACAAGCAATTTAAATCTGGCAGCGATGCTAGGTGTCTGGGATGTGGGTTTGTCCTTGGATGACCATGTGCCACGGATTAAAATGGCTGCACCTGCCTTCTCCAAATGCTAAAGGAAATGGAGTCTGGCTTCCAAGTGTGCACTTGGTTTGAGAGTGGGGGATGATGGGTATATGGGTAGGATCTGCTTCAGACAATATATTTGGGGAATGTTTGTCCCTCTGGCCACTAGATGGGGCAAGAGAACAACAACAGTATATAAAGTTACATGGTGTGGCATGACAAGCTACATCGGGGAGACTGGCCAGGCAAAGCAGGAGGCAGAGGGCGACGCTGCCCATGGAGCTCCAGTGTCCAACTTCTCCCTTGACAGATCTCTGGAGAACAAGAGGAGCAGCACTCCCTGGTCCTTCACGAGGGAGTCTGGCCAGTGGTGGGATACAAATAATTTAACAACTGGTTCTCTGCCCTAATGATGTCTTCCAACAACCAGTTTACCAAACTGCTCAGAAAATTAACAACTGGTTCTCCCGAAGTGGTGCAAACCGGCTGAATCCCACCACTGAGTCTGGCCCTTCTTGAAAGGGAATTCCTGTTTCCAATATTGTGTGTTAAGGATGCTAGCTTGTTGGGGCAGCCTTCCCTCATGCAGCTCCCCCGCCACTCTTTCCTCCTCTCCAGAGATCTGCAGGGGAGACACATCTGGAGGGCACAGTGCAAACTCCATATAGGCTGCTTATACTTCTCCAAGCCCAATGGGTGGTGGGAGGAAAAAGCCAAAAAAGAGCACCTGTGATGGGCCAGGCAAGGCTGGGGGGGGGGAATCTGGAGGTCTCCAGCAGAGGAAGGTGAGACCAGGGTGAACGCCAAAGCCTTGTCCACCAGAGGAGCCTCGCCGTCCCTCTCAGGTCACACAGAGGACCCCTGGATGGTGGTGCAGGCTATCCGGAGCTCCTGCAAGCGAAAGGCAAGAGCCCAGCCCTCAAACTCCCTGGGCATCGGGTCCCCACAACTCAGCCCAGCCCTGCTTACCTCCTCCTCGAGGCTGCTGCTACTGTGCTCACTCTCCTTGGCCAGGTTGCTCATGGTGGGTACAGGAAGGCAAGGCTCATGGATGCTGCTGTCTGCTTTGCCCAGCAGGTTATGGCCACAGCTTCCCCGCCTGACTGGTGGGCTTCCCAGGCTGGAGGAGAGTGGAGGGGCGGCAGGGCTCCTGCTGGACAGGGGCTGCTGCTTCCAGTGCCACCATTGTGTGTGTGTGGAGCCCCGAGGTGCACAAGTATGATGCAGATGGGTCAGGGCCAAGCGCAGCTTATTGGACATCCGGGCTCACATCACCCAGGGGGACTGCCCAGCTGGGCTGGTGTGGGCCGGGGCTGAGGCAGTGGAGGCAGGCCCCTTGCCATCTCCAGGGCA